GTTGGTGGCTTCTGGAATTTTGTATGGGTCTCACAAAGTTTCTGAATTCTTGATGTCGCTCTACTGTGAACCCTGAAACCTTCTGAGATTTATGCATAATGAGAGTAATTTCTTTGCTGTTATGCACGATTGTTAACCAGCACATTGAGAAGTGTTTTAATAAAGACATCGCTTTAAAGTAAGATAGTACCATCTGTTCTGCCCTCTAATTACAAACAGGGAAAAAGGGAAAGAGAATAATTTACAATTGCATCACAGAGAGAGCAAGGATAAAGAAGTGACATAAAGGTGTGGAAGTCTCCAAATATGGCCTGCTTCACTTATGTTGCTTTCATGATTCGTATACAAATGGAAGATGAAACTGTTCCCTTGTGAAAGAAAAAGTTCCCTGTGATAGTGATTTGTTCTCAAGATACCAGAAAGTTAATCTGAAATGGCATGTCTCTAACAACATATACCAGTGCCTTCTCTTCTGGTGTCAGTCACTTAGTCCTGGAGAAAGCTACAGATGTGAGTTCTGTGTGTGTGTGAGATAAAATAAAAGATATGTTAAAAAAGATGATCTGGTAGGCAGTGGATTGAGATGCAGAAGAACTGCATTCGATTCCAGTTACCATTCTTTTCAACCAAAATAAACAACAATTGTGAGTCTAATTTCAAGTGCAACTGGATTTGATGTTCTGTGAGGCTTACATAGTACATGCATAGTACTCACATAGTAATCATAAAACAGGAATAACAGCTCCATATTGCATAAAAGTGTTGCCAGGATTCAGTCAGTGTAGTGTTTGTGAGATGGGAAGGCTGTCTCCTGACAAGAAGCATGTATGATGCACTGAGATATGCAGGATTTGATTTGATTACCTGTAGCCTCTTCTGCCTTGCTTATTGCATCAGTATATGCTACCTTCTCTGCAGCACTTACACCTTTTCAACAAATATGGAGTAGGCTGAAAGATGCTCCACTGTCCCTCTGTGATGGGGAAATCACATACCCTTGCTCCCAGAGGTGCTGCCCAGTGTGGTTCATGCTGCTGCAGCGGAAAATGCAAAATCTCATGTGATTGTAATTTTAATCACAATCCTCAGCCCTGGGAAGAGTGGCCAAGCAAGGAAACAACAGCTGCTTGAAGATACTTTCTTCACCCTGATTATCTCGGAGGCATGCAGGCTCTGAGCCTCTCTCTTTCTCAGCGACTATGTTGCTGCTTCTGGTTGGAAATTATGCACTGCCTTAAGCTGGGGAAACACTGAGCTCCTGAATAAAATTCCTGCAGGTCCCACAATATGTTTATGCATTTACTTAATCAAATTATTAGAGGATTTATCTGAAAACATCTGAGCACACTGCACAAATTGAGCAAGAGCAAATTCCCATTTGATGCAGGAAAACAAACTAAAAGTGTGTGGCAAAAATGAAACTTGGGTGATAGTTAGTGAATCTTTCCAGTCAGGGGGGGTGGGTTGGTATCTGATCAGCATGGACAATCAAATTATTAAATATTCATGGACTTTGTCGTAAATATCCATTAAGTGGTATGAAACATTGTGTTCAAAGGGAGAACAAGCATAAAGCTCTTCCAGTTCAAGCCAGAAGATCTGGGAATGTATGTCTTCTTTCCTAGCTGTAAATGGATTCATTTCTTTACCAAAATGAGATAAAGCACTTATGATGAGCAGCTTAAGGAACTGGGGGTGTTTAGTCTGGAGGAGGCTGAGGGGAGATCTCATCGCCCTCTACAGCTACCTGAAAGGAGGGTGCAGAGAGCTGGGGATGAGTCTCTTTAACCAAGTAACAAGTGACAGGACAAGAGGGAATGGCCTCAAGTTGCGCCAGGGAAGGTTTAGACTGGATATTAGGAAGCATTTCTTTACAGAAGAGGTTGTTAGGCATTGGAATGGGCTGCCCAGGGAGGTGGTGGAGTGAGTCCCCATCCCTGGAGGGGTTCAAGAGTCAAGTTGACATATCGCTGAGGGACCTGGTGTAGCTGGGAACTGTCAGTGTTAGGTTAATGGTTGGACTGAATGATCTTCAAGGCCTTTTCCAACCTAGATGATTCTGTGATTCTGTAAAATAATGACAGTGAAAAACAGAGCAGAATTCTCTCTCTTTTCCATTACCTCTTTAATAGTAAAAGTGAACAAGTTGTTCCAAAACAGTGCCTTCCACCAGTGTGCAACTGTAATCAAACTATTTGCCACACTGAGTACTGCACCCAAATCACTAAAATGTTTTTGAATAAAGAAAGGAATAAAACCTAGACCTGCCCTAACCAGCAATAATTTTCTGCAGTCATATGATGCAAGGGGATTTTAGCCATGGTGAATACTCTTGCATGCTTTTTTCAGTTAATGTCTTTGGCTCAGAAGGGATTGCAAGCCTGGATTTAATCATGTCTCTAAAACTAGTTGAATCCTTAGGCACTACAGGAATGCAAATTACTATTAAGTTCAAATCCCAGACATAAAGCTCAGAGAGCTGTGTGCTCTTTTGATGCATTTCTCTATATGTAACTGCTGCAGATAAAAGATGGTCCATAAAACCTTCTCATCCAGCACACAAATATATTCAGCTTTTCCTTCAAGCATGAAAAAAAACCAAACTTCAGGCCCAGCCTTCCCAAAATATACTTACCAGGAAGCACCTACTTTCATAAATATGATTTCAGATTTTGATGACTAAAAGACCATCCTAGGTCAGGGCTTCCCAGGAGACAGTGTGAGCTAGGGCAGGTGGAGTTCTCCATGTTCCCCCAGAACATCAGGAAGGATACTTGTGTGGCTATGAACCCTCTTCCTCCTCTGTTAGATCATTGTTGCTTGCAGAAAACCAGTGGATATGGTTTATTCTTAGAGATTATCTAAGTCTGAAGTACCACACAATGGATGAAATTGGAAGGGACCTCTGGACCACATCTGGTCAAACACTAATACTTAGCTACAGCAAGCTCTCTAGCTTTACATTCAGTGGAAGTGCTCAAAATGTTAACATGCATTGGGACTAAGGAAGGACAGGAATGGTTTCGTAGCATTTCTGAGACACACACCCCCCCAGCAAACAGATGTGCTCTAATTCTGTCTTGTAGATCCCCTGAAACAATGTGCTGTCTCTCAGAAGGGAATGTTTAGTCTGAATATTAATATCATTTTGTAATGAAAGTTCTGAACTGTGTGAGAAATATACCCTTACATAGCTGAGAAACCTTCTCAAGTCATTTAATACCCCCCAAATGGAGATTATGAGGTCAACCTTCAAATAGAAGACAAAACTAGTACTGAAAATAAATGTAAATGAAAAATGATCTTTCTGTTTCTGTGTTGTTATATTTTTCCGCACTCAGCAGACCATAGTGAAGTAATCACCCTGGATTTAATTTCTGGTTCTCTGCAAATATAGAAATTAGTTTGTGAGACAAATGCTTCCAGAAGCCTCTATTGTACAGATAGTATGTGTCTAATCTGAAACATTTTCCTGTATCTGCTGCTCTCCAATAAAAGAGGGAGAGACTTTTAAAGTCTTTCTGTGTAACAAAATACTTTGATGGTCAATAATGGCACTCATATTATAAAACTGTTTCAACAATTCAGGTAGTAGTACTAGCAGCTTTGTTAAGCTTTAAGGTACAATAAATAGAATGGAAAAATACTTCTGGATTAATTGTTTGGATCTATAAACTATGTAAAAAATTGAGGTTCCACAGTTGACAGGACAACATCTATTATTATTATTATTATTATTATTAATAATAATAATAATTATTATTATTATTATTATTATGCTGCTCTTCTTCAGTATACTTGCAGAATCATAAGAATTATTTCCAATAAATTATTTCAAGATTTGTGTATTCTTGAGGGTTTTTTGGAAAATAGCTGGAATTTTGAGATGGCCTGTGGTGAAAAAAAATCCTTTATTAAGGAGTGAAAATCCCGGGTTTTTTATTTTGATGCGTATTGGTTGCTGAACATATCTTAACATCAGGGGAAAATTATTTCAAGGACAAAAGCTAAATAATTTTTATTTTTGTTGAATAAGCATAAATGTTAATATAATCAACATGTTTGCTTGCACATTGGGTATTCAAACTGAGATTATTAGCTTGAAAATTATTGCAGGGAAGAATGGCACCTTATTACTTAGCAGAGCAGATCTGTATGTGTATTCAGTCATAATATATTTTCACTAGGGAGGGAGAAATAACATTTCATTTATTATTTATTTTTCTATTAGCTCTGCGTACTAGCTCATTTTGTACAAACTAAGTTGTCTTCTAGTTTTCTGTGCAACAGTAAAATAATCCCTCAAATATCATCTACATTGTGTCTTTGCTTTCTATGCTGCTTTAAGGCTCTGAGGAAACCACATAGACACCATACACAGTTTATATGAAACGGTTTTGTAAATATTAATTTCTATGCTTTATGCAGTCAGTTTTGATTCTTATGTATGGGGGTTTGAATCATTTGATGTCATGAATTTGTTTTCCTCATTATACAGCAGTCATAAATATAAAAAGAAGGTAGACTATGGAGAAAGAAAGAAGGTAGACTATTGAGCGAGAAAGAAGGAAATGGAGAAGGGAAGATAGGAAAATGTTAGACGTACGAAAGAATATACTCTAAGGATGGGCATATTTTTAAGAATACCAAAATGAGTTTCTCCTCAAATATTTCTGCAAATACTTAATGGAAAGTAATAGCAGTTGAAAGAATATTATTACAATGAAAATAAAGTAAAATAGGAAGTGTTTTAAGAAATAAATCCTGACTTCAAAAGTCTTCCTGACTTCCTGACGCCCTTTCCTTCCCAACTCTACAGCCGCTTGGTAAATTGAAGGTTGTTAATATTTGTGTTTCAGCTTTTCTTAGGACTTCTCTAACCCTCAGAATGTGACACATATAATTGCTTTCTCATTGTGGAAATGCTAATGGTTTTAGTTCAGTTACTTCACCCATAATGAGTTAAAAATCAGACTTTTGAAGGAAGGAAAGATCCTTACCTGATGGATATTGCCCAGTCTGACCAGCTGCATAGCACAGCCTCAACATCTCATCAAGGTCTGGGAAGGAATGGGGTGTGGTGATCCTGCTCCCAGGTACTCTGACACCTTAAAAATTGGTGATCCCAATACTGTTCCTTGTCTTCCTCTGCTTGTTCAGTTCAGGAAGAAAGGAATAATTTTTTTTCTCAGATCCTGTTTCCTTTTTAATTAAGGGCTCTGTGCTCAAGAAAGATCTATGTTTACTAATCACAGGTGGAAGGAGACATGCAGGATTTGAACAGTGGGCAAAGCTCAATATTTAGAGAACTTACTCGGGGGAAAATCCCCTTGGTTCTTCTCCCAGATACCTAACTCCTTTATGCATCTGTGAGAATCACCACAAATCAGACCCTGGGGTACTTTCATGGGGCAGTCCCTCTGTTTAGACACTCAGCACTTATTCATAAAGCCCAGGAGCCTTTTTGTCAGAGCTGACATCTCAACATGATAATGAGAACGTCTTCTATTTCGTCTGAGAAAGTCCAACAAGGAACTGAGACATCAAACAAACAGGAGAAGCTTTCATGTTTGGAAAGTTGACTGTTCTAACACACATCTTCAGTTTTTTTTTCTAGGGAAAAAAAAAAGAAGCATTTGTCTTTACAAGAGGGTTAATTATATAAATGAATCACTTTCCATTCTAAGATACAGGATTAATGAAATGAAATCTTAGGACCTCTTAAAGTCTGATCCAAGGGGAAACAAAAACCAACCACAATACAGGCCAATTGGCTGAATGTGTTAAGTAAAAGAAAAGAAAAGAAAAGAAAAGAAAAGAAAAGAAAAGAAAAGAAAAGAAAAGAAAAGAAAAGAAAAGAAAAGAAGAAATTGATGATGAGGGAACATTCATATTGCCAGGGCTCTTGTAAAGCAGAATGCAGCTATTATTTGGAGTGGAAACAGTTTGTGAAGAGTTGACAGTCTAAAATGATTTAAGGGGCTCAGAATGCAACAATTATTTAGCAAAAGAAAAATATAAAGATGGGTAAAGGTTTTATTAAGTCTTGAACAAAAAAGAAAAACAGTCTTTCCTGAGGTGTGGTAAATGCTTTTTCTCAAACTAATTTTCAGTGTTGTAGGGAAGAGGGATACAGAGTTCAGTACCGGGCATCCTGTGTACAAACATGTCCATTACATCCTTTGTTCCCATTTGAAGGCTGCATAACGGTAATCACTCTGAGTCAGTATTAATTTGGATCTTTTTTCCTAGGTGAGGCAGGGATGAACAAGAAACAACAATATTTCTATTAGAGAAAACTATGACCATAGAAAAGTTATTTGGAAGAAAACAAAACACCAACACCACAACCTGCAGATTCACCCTGGGTTCTTATTGGATCTGCTTTAAAAAACCGTAAAGAAATTCTCATTCAAATTCATGACTGCTTTACATAGCATCAGTTGTGAAATTATACGTGTACCTGAACCTCTGCTGTCATTTATAAAAAGATAGCTTGTGAGTATTGCGCTTGTGGAGATGTGGTAGGAAACATGAATCCTAAAGGTGCATAAACCAGGCGGGGGATATAAAAAGAATGTTAAATATATTTTACATCTTTCGAGAACTAACGGCTGCTTTTCAAGTCTTCATGTTACATTTCATGAGGGCCTGATTCTGCTGGTGTGTATTAAACTTGCTGTGATGGGATCAGAGCAGAGCGTGCCTCCACCTACCTGACTGATATCCAGGGGGAGTTAAGCTGAGAAATTTATGGAAACCTTTGGTGGTTTGGGACTCCTCTGCCGTGGTCTTTAAAAACTGATGGTGTCCGTGGCTGTGCTGAGGGAGATTTACTCAGGGGAGTAATTCTTGTGACCAAGGGATGTCACAAACTGTAGCTGTGAGAGGATTAAACTCCTCCAGGATCAGAAGTGTTTTGGATTTTAACTTTCAATTGGAAGACTTTGTGTGAAGATTACTCCCCTTTTGGATCCACCCCAAGATCTTCAGTATGAAATCAAGTGAAATTTCCCTTTCATGAATCTTTGGGTGCTGACTCCTGTCATTTTTGAATTCCCATTGTTCTTTCCCTCTGTTTTAGGAGTGGCTTAGTAAATTGGGTGTTTCTTCCACTTCTTCCTCATATTTTGTTCTTTTTTTTAGAAGAAAGGAATAGAATAATGAAACCAGGTGAGTTGTTTAGTGTGCTTAATTGCATAGTTGACCTAGTGACTAAACCAAGAACACTTTTCAATGTGTGATTTTTTTTTTTTTCTTGGCTAAGTTTAGCTGGTAACTACATTTACCAATTTTTTATCTTAATAAAGCCTTTTTTTACGTTCTGAAGCCTATATTTAAGCCTTTTGAAATCAACATCCTCTCCCTTTCCACAGGGATGGATCCAGTGCCCCTATGTCCTCTGAGGGCAGGTCAGGATAAGTGTCTCCAGATGGCTTAATGCTGCAGAAGATTTTTCATCCTCTGTTATGATTGGCAATGCATTTCAGCCTGGTTTATGTGAACAAAGCCAGAGAGTGAGAAGCAATAGGGCATGGATCCTCTGAGACTTCAAAGCCAAGCTTTTTCCACTTAAATGTCAGTTGACTACTCTTTGTCAGCATCATGGAAAGCCCTGACAGAAGGAAATTGAGTCTTTTCTGCTTTTTAATACCCACGTGGCACCGTGTTGTGTGTGGTGCCACACTAGGAAATGAGATATGCTCAGGAAGAGCACGTCAAGGTGATGCTGCTGCCTTGCAAGCATCCCATGCACGGACACTGCAGTGGGCTCAGGGCACCCTGACCCTCTCTTTTAAAGACCCACATCAGGCACAGGGGGATTTGCTCAATCTGCTTACTTTTTGCTTACAAGAGGGTTTCCCAGGCAGCCTTTCCATACCTTAACAACTAGTTCTGGCTGTTTTGATGCTTTCCAGGATGCATAATCGTCCATACAGATCCAAGGGCACATGGGCTCTTCTAGGGCAGCCTCTGGCTCTGTGTATGAGTTTGTCCTATGGCCCAACACTGAGTTTGGCAATGCTGGAAACACGAGCAAGTCTCTGTCTGGACTCTTAGGGATTAGGCGTGGGGTATTCCCATACGTGAGGGCAGTAGGGTTAGGGTTTTAAGAACATGAGTCTGCAGTTCTTGTTTGCATCACCAACTTTTGAGGGGATTCTTTGGAAATCAAGGATGCTGTTTGTGTGAGTAAAAAGAAGAAAAGGACTCTGTGTTTGTCTACAGCTGTGCTTAAATCAGGAATTAGTGTCTCTATCTTAAAAAAATATAGTCAGAAGGGTTACTCTGATGAAAACTAATATTTCAGCTAGTTGTTCATAAGCCAAATGCTGAGATGACTCACCACTGGGTGAAGTTCATACCGCAGGTATCACTGCCTTAGTAAATAATGCTATTAATTGTTTGCATTTAGTTCTGTTTGTTAATCTCTCTTGGACATGTTATTTGCAGTTGTCATCAAGACAAATTTGCACCCTGCCAAACTGCAAACAAGGACTGCCATCCCCACCAGTTTATTCATGCCAGCGGTTTCAATTAGCTGAACTCTGAAATACATCTGTCTTAGGGAGAGAGTACTATACCTAACAAGTCATTTTTCCTTTGTGTCAAAACAGCAATATCACAATGAAGGTCTGATCTCAATGACTGGAGTAGAACGATGAATAATAGTATCTAATCAAGATATTAATTAAAACTTGAAAAATCATCTTAATGGGAACATGTTCCAAAGTTAAATTGGACTTTTTTTTCCCCTTTTAAATTAGCACAGTCGATTAACAGGTGTTTTCCATATGTAATTATTTTCAGTGGAATGAAAAGCTGAGTTAAACATTGCAGTTGTATAGGGGTATATTATGGTCAGGCACTTTGAGAGGATGAAGGCAGAGAGGAGTGAAAATGCAGACCAGGATGCTCTGGCTAAGTTCCAGTTTGCTAATCACATCCTACTTAGTCAAAGCTGCCTGGTAGTTTCAATTTGTTGCTGTGTTCTCCTCATATTTCCTTGGAGGGCTGGATGGTTTGCAATATAAAATTGAAAAGGTGCTTCCTGCCATGTGCGGCTGCCTTTAACTCTCAAGTGACAAAGTTCAAATAACAGATCTATTTCAACTTAATTTTTGTGTGCAGGAAAGGCTTTTCACTTTATATCTCTCTCTGTATAGGTACATATGTATGAACATAAACATGTTAAGTTTTTCTTTAAAGGCTGCCTACAGTCTTCCTGTGGATAGAATAGTGGTTTTGTTCTTCTTGTGGAACATCCCTGGATGAAAATTTATCACATTGCTTTAGCTGAAAACTGTATTGTTTTATATTTTCTACCTTTCGAGTTGTACAACTGATGGCCTCACAGGCTAATTCAGCTCATCACTCTGATTTTGAATGTTTTGACAATGGTGGTCTAGTATTGAGCTTTGACAGCAGAAGACTTTAGAATCAGTCTTATCAGTGGTGATGACAGGTAAAAGCAGGGATATCTGGGTCTGAAGGCATGGGATAAAGGACAAAGCTATGTTTGTTCAGACAAAACCAGATTTTTTGTTATTTTGGTATTTGTCAAGTAGGCTATTGAGCATCTGTGGTTACCCACACATAGAGGTCATCATTGTGACTTGGTCATGTGTTTTATGTCCCACAATGCAGAAAGCGTAGATCTACTCTTCAAGTAAGACTGTAAGGGCATTTCAGAATTAATTCTATTTACCCTCTTGTAAAATCCAACATTTGTAAAATCTTGTAAAATCCAACATCTTGTAAAATCCAACATTTACGTGAACAAAATCTGTTTCATCCAAAATCCAAAGCCTGCCAAAATCAATGGAAGACTTTTCATGAACTTCAGTGAGCTTCAGTTATAAGTGAAAAGAATTAATTTTACAGGAATAAGTACATCTGAGCATCCTTTAAAAAGCAAATAAGAAATCGTAGAAACAGTCTGCATTTATACAGAACTCTTCCCCTAAGGATTTCATCCTTTTTTGAAAATGGAGTCCTTGAACAGGCTTTAACTCCATTTAAATATGCATGCATAAAGAAAAAGATTGTTTTATTTAAGAAGGGTTGGGTTGGGGTTTTTTTTTCCCCACATCAAGCATAACTTCTTAATCATGCATTTTTACCCTCTTTCTGGTTTC